CCCCACCGCAGAAGATGAGAACGATTTAAGTAGCCAGCTGCCAGCCGCTCGCGCCCCGCCCCAATGCGCAGCACCACGCCGCGCCACGCCGACGCTGGCTCAGATTAAAATTTATCGCGAGGCTTATTAATTATCCCCTTGTTTTCGTCATTTCCAGGACGAAAAAAACCAGATCCTGACGACCAACTGCTGGTTGACGCAGATCTGGCTCGACCACCACCTCAGGTGGAACCAGAGCGAGTTCAACGGGATCAACGTGGTGCGTATCCCGTTCAACCGCGTCTGGAAGCCAGACCTCATCCTCTACAACAAGTGAGTGCCCACGATTTTTATTACGATTTAAACAAAAGGGAGACGTAGAACACAAAACTTGCTTTGTGTTAGGAACAAATTGGTACTTAAATTATCACCGTTATAGTGTTGTGATTATCCAAAACATGCATATGTCAACTGTCCTCACTAAATTGTTAAGTTCATGGTCTAGAGCGCCTGACAGGTAGGCAAGAACTTGCCCGTAATGCTTGCGTGTACCGCAGGCTGGCCTACCCTGAGTCTCGCAGGCGCCAGCCTCTTTTTTACTGATTATGGAATATTTTCCGTTATGGTCTGCTGATTTTTTCCACTATGGATTTTTAAATCATAACTTTTTAACTATGTGTAACACAGGAATTCTGACTGAAGCTCTGCGATGGATTTCACTATCCAGATGGATTTATGTTACATATGAAAAATTTTCCACAGCAGGAATATCTATAGTACAAAATTCCACCCTAGAAAGTGTTCCAAATTACATCTGGAATATAATCCATATGGAAATTCAACAAAATCCAGACAGGCATTTTCCATACTAGAAATCCATGTGGAATTTAGAGCTGGGTAGTGTAGCACACAAATAAAATGCCTTGTAATACAAAGCAATGCTTTGTAGACCTTCTACTCTGCGACGCTGATTGTATAATGCTCGTTCTCACCGAGAGTATGTAGCTGTGGTGTTGGTAAAGAAAGTGAAACAACACTGTGAAAAAAAAGAACGAAGGTTTACAGGAAGTTTTCTTGTCGCAAGTTGTAAAATTACAACTTGTAATCAATCGTGAAAATACATGCAGTACGTATCGACTTATTGGCGAGTAAAAAATGTGCCCCCGTAAATTTACAACTTAAATTATAATTCGAGTTTACAAGAATTTCGTAGACTAACGACGATATTTTTCACAGTTAACATTACAACTAAAATGTCAAAACGGCCACATTTTGATGTCACGTCGTGTCCACGCACCACCTTGTATGGTTTCCCATTCTGAAGTTCTCTTCTGTTTGTACAGTACATTGCCGACACTTCTTATTTACAGTATGGCTGCGCAGGACAGAACAACGGTCCCTCCCACAATCCTCTCACTAATTTCGCGTCCCTGTTTTCCCTACCTCTGCACTCCTCTCCCTCACTGCCCTCCGACACCAATTCTCTCACTCTGCCCCTCCCCTCCCCTCCCCTCCTCTCCCCTTCCCCTCTCCTCCTCCCCTCTCCTCTCCTCTTTTCCCTCCTCTTCCGCACGTGTAAATCGCCGATGCATGTGATGCGGTTAGACACTTGTGCATCCGCGAGAAATGAAATTGAACCAGCCATTTTTATGGCCTGTTTCCTTCCTTTGCCCTCTCCCTCATCTTATTTTCTTGCCCCCCCCCCCCTACCATTCTCTCTTTCTCTCCATCTATCTATCACTCAAGTTACGCCCTTTTAATAGCGCGGGTCTCGTGTGACGGCTTGCTTTTTATCTCGCGGTGGCGTGATGGGTGGCGCTGTAAATGTGTGTCGCTTTGTGCTTGGTTTAGCCTCTCTCTACATGCCTTATGGACTTGCGCCAGATCATGGCGTTTGTTGCGTGACTAGCGCCTTCTCCGGGCTGCCTCCGGGAGTCTCTTCGTTTCTTCCTGATTGCGCTCGTGCTTGTGAGAGAAGCAATCCGAGCCGGAGTAGTGGGCATCTTGCCTCGAGTGGCCCTCAAAAGAAGGGAGAGGGCAGAGGGCGCGGCGGCGGTGATTCCAAGAAGGATTTTGACGTGCGACACTTTAAACTTTTACTCAAACTTTGGATGGTGCAGCTGTCCGCTCATGAAAATCTGAGGGTGTTGGAGGCGGACGTGCTGCGGGAGGGCGAGGAGGGTGTCGCCGAGGAGCCGCGGCGTCCTGGGCTGCCGAAGCTAAAGGAGATGCCAATGGGAGCTGCTCTGAAGCGGCGCCCAATAGGCTCTGTCCGTTCAGGCCTCACGACTTTACGACTGGGTCATATACCGCGGTGTCTAGCTGCTCGGTGGCGGTAAAACCTTGCGCGGCGAGGGTGGGCGATGCAGGCGGGAGCGGGAGTTCGGCTGTGCGAGTGCGAGAAGGGCGGGGCGCGGCGGGGCGGGTTGGATGGTGTTGGACGAGGCTCCTGCTCCTTCTCCTCCTGCTCGAGTCGTTTTTCGCCCCGTCGAATGAAGCGGGCACCCACGGGTCCGGGTTGTTATTGATTTCCACACTCAGGAGAAAAAAACAACATTTCAGCTAAAAAATTTGCTCCATGTGGACAACTAATTTTTGGAGCTGCACAACTAAAAGTTTGCTACACCCGGCTCATCGGCGCTCGGCTCGAAGCACAGCTTGGGGCTCGGCTCGGTTGCGCCTGGCATGGGCTAGGGAGGCAACGGACCCAAATGAAAATCTCCTCCTAAATATCTGGGAAAATTGGAACAACTGATCCTCTCATTGCGTATACTGTTTAAAAAATCTACAGCAATCATAATAGTTTTAAACTGTTTATTGAAATACCGTTGGTACACTGGTAAATTTTCATTTTGTGCACTATCCCTCGGTTTGGTCTATAATGAATATTAACAGTGTCCGAATGTACTTTCGTCACTTTCGTACACCGTACACCGTACGATAGAGTACAACATTTAACAGTATACTACCGTTATTCCAATCAACTGTTTCAAACTGTTGTTACTGCTGATTTTTTTTACACCTAGAAAAATGAAAAGTTGTCACAGCCATCGTATGGTTATTTCAGGGACAACCATAAAGTGATGGTTGAGGTAACGTTATAATTATTCTGAAAACGAAAATATAGTTCCGACAAGTGTAGGATTGTTAATTTTTAAACCACATTATAGTTGTCCCTGAAGTAACCACACGATGGTTGATTGATACGACTTTTCATGTTTCTGGGTGTACACTTAATTGTTGAGCGTTTTAGTTCAAAACTCACGACTGCAAAGTGTTTGCGACTAACAACTATCAGTTTTCTTTCGTTCGATTTTCAGAGTAATGCGGAAGTAAGCTGACTCACTTCTTATTTTCTACGATTCAGATTTACTCATGTTAGTTTACTGATTTATGTAGGTACGGAACAATTGTCATTGTACACATTATGCGGTTGTAGTTTTTGTACATTTTCTCAATTTGTATGCCTGACCATAAACACATAAATCTGTACACACAAATCAGAGACTTTAGCTTTTTGTCCGTTTCCAGTTAGTGTGCGGACATGTCATGGAGGCCGTTTGTCGTGCTGATACATTACCGGTCCAGCCCCCGAGCAGTCCGAGGGCCCCGGCCCCGGCTGGTCGCGGCAGGTCCACTGGTCGCCGAGATATACGTCATTTCACGCCGCGCACTGCTCGCTGCTGTTTTGGGACTTGAAACGGACTGTAGGGGCGGACGGGTTGGAGCAGAGCCTGGCGAGCGTGGTGGCGTGATGGGCCCCCGGGGCCGCACTGCACACCGGCCACACTCTCGCACATTGTGTCACCACCGTGTCACTACCACACAAACACCAACACTTCGCGGAGTGTCTTTCTCGTGCAAGTTGGGCCGGAGCTCCTTCCCTAATCTTCCCTGGGAATTGAGACGCAAAGATGTAACCTCGGTTGCACAAACAGCCTGTTAACTTGTGTTGTTTCATTTTTTATCGCAGTGCTTGCCATATTATAGGAATTTTGTTCGTACTATGAAGACTTTTGGCTAGAAGAATTTGAAGAGTGTGTGTTGAGAGGATCTCCCTCTCCCACCTCTCCCGCCCCCAGATAAAGGGCTCCCGACAGTCCCAGTAAATCTACCTGTATTGGTGGTGGGAGCGTCGCTGCCACGCGCATGGCGCTGACTGGTGTACCCGACTCGACCCGACAACAAATGAGAAACGATCCTCGGTTTCATTTTTGTGACGAGTGCTTCCCTTTCTTTTGTAGTTTTTTCAAACGCTCCTTTCAGTATGTTATAACTGAAGTGTCGGCCTACGCGTGTGCAAATTTTGAGCAAGAACGGTGACTTCTAATTTTAGCGCTCACAGTTTAGCGTGGATGAAACCCGTAGACGTTTTCCCGTCGAGGAATGTAGCTTTTGTTTTCAAAAAATATATGGAAATATTTACGTGACAGTCGAGTATATGATAGAAACATGATACGAGACCATGCTTTGGCTTTGGATTTTATAATGGTGGATTTGGTCTCGTGTGACCCGTGTCTTCACGGTGAGGCGGCCACACTGAGGACGCTGGCCTCAGAGGTTTTCGAGGACTGTAATTGGCCTCATCGTGTAGACACGGGCCACACGAGACTAAATCCACCACTATAGATTTGCAGAGTCTGTTTCGGGAGTGAAGGGCGGGGATGTTTTTCGGAAGAGTTCTAGGAAGTAGGATGTTCAGGTGGGAAGCCGCATACCGCGTGACCGCCCAAGCGTAAAGTTAATTTCAATACCTTGCTAGCATCGCACGCTGCATGTTTATGAGTTAGAGAGTTTACGTAAAATTATTTTATATTGGTTTATAGCTGCACACTTGTGATTTGCCAAAGCCTGTTTCTTCTTCCTCTCTAAATCTCTTTTTCTCTCAGATCCTCGCTCATTCCTCTCTGTACCTCTCTCCAGACGATTCCTAACTTCTGTGCTTGACTTTTAGTTATACTGTTGTGTAACTCCTTTTTGCTCCATAATATTCTCGTATACTCCTTACGGACCCGGATAAACCAACCCCACGTAACCGCGCTCACCACGCCCTGATCG